CAACATTGGGACATCTTCGTCTGTGTCATACTCGTAGTCAGAGTCTTTATACTTTTCTAACCATCCGTTAAGTGGAATTTCATCGTCTGGTTCATAATCATTTTCTTTTCTTACAAATCCATACATGCTTAACGCAATTTACAATGGTTTTTCGGCTAACATTTTGCCAAGTTCTATGAATGAAATTGACTGCATCTAAGAGATTTATAGAAGATGTTTCATTTTTATCAATCGCCTCTAACGTTTTCATAAGAAGAATTTTTCAGACTCTCCAACAATTTTTCCGCTTCTGATATTATGCCTCTTCTTGAAACGCTCTTCCCAACTTTTAGAACAAGTAAACTCTTTGTTTCTGATTTTACTCCCCATTTCACTAGCATTTTCTTGCAAAACACTGCCACTTATGGGAACGTTTTCTTGTCTTTTTTGAGTAAACCACTTAATAAGTCCCTTGTCAACCTTTTCATGTGCAGATAATTTTAACTTCCTACATTTAACATTTGTTTTGTCATACGCTGATAAAATGTTTTCTCTGTTTTTTCATATTGTTGCAACAGTAGACTTTCCAAGTGCTAATTCCTTACAAATGTCACTCTGCTTTACTCCACTTTTTATTTTGTTAATAATCTCGCACTTTTCATTTAGTGAAAAAGCTTCGCGTCTTTGTGTTCCCATTCTAAAACGATTTATATACATAACGCAGCAAAAAACAAGTGCCTGTCTCTCGCTCTCACTAATATAAACAACTCCGCAGGATTGGTGTTCGGAAACGGATTCGTTATAACCAGTAAAAAAATACGTTGGTCTTTATGGACGACGTTTCAATTAAAGGAAAAAAAATCGTTTTAAGCGAAAGTTCACTATAACCGGGTTCATTATAAGCGGACTTTACTGTAGATCTATTTTCTAGATTTGTATTGTTTTAAAAATGTGTTGCTTCGTTTTTCAGTATTATGTTTAAAAAAATTTAAATAGCAACAAATTAAAGTAGCCTAAAATAAAACAAAAAACTATGGAAAGGAAACATGACGGAACTTATTGCTGCTATAAATTTCAAAACAAATAAATAAAAAAAAAATCGTAAAATCACTGCCTTCGTGTAAAATTCAAATTGAATTTTAAATCTGATGATGGCGCTGTTGTCTCGCCGAAACGTAATATGAAATAAACGATATTAACATTTTTCTTTCAAATTTTGACTGAAACCCAGGAAAGAAAAAATATAGTGCAAATATAGACAAAAATATATTTTTCAAATCAGGCGAAAAATCCTATTATTATGTTTAAATATAAATAGGGTGTTTCATTAAAAAATATATTTTATGTAAAATTTTGACATTTCCGTGTTTTATATGTTTACTTAAAATTCAGATTTAATAAATTTGAGTAAAATTTACAATTTTTGTGTTGCTCACTTTGACATTTTTAAAAAGTAAACGATTTAGGCGAGGTGTCAACTTATGAGAAAACACCCTGTACATAAGTAACGCGTCTGAAAATATTTCGCCAACATCTATTTTATTCCGGAAATTGCGTTCTGCTCAACCTAATGTATGTGGCAAATAAATTTTAAAAAATTGCACAAGCAGTCAAAGCCTCCAACTTGTACCTATGGGAGAACAAAAAATCATTTAAAAAAATTCAGCAAAGCAGACTCCTGGATACTTAAAAAGTTAATTTATTCAGCACAAATAGTAGTAATATAAAAAAAACTAGCGCAAACCACCTGGACGGTTCCACGAACATTCCTTAAACACTTGCCCTGGTTCGTCCAGGCCATTTCAGCTTAATTAAATCTACCACTTAGTAGAGGCGAATTCATTGCAATCGAACATCACATTTAACATTTTTGTTGATCGGCGAAGTGGGCCATCTTTCCATCATCCCCGACCGACAAAACGGACCGTTGATTGCTTGCGATTGACCGCAAACAACGATCGCGTGACTAGCGCACTATACACTTCTGCCGTCTCCAGCGGACCACACCACACTACGCACGGTTTCAGCACAGGAAAACCACACTAAAGCTGTAAAACCAACCGAAAATCAGCAGGAAAACCCCCGATATAAACGATCTGAACGCAAACCAAAACCGCGCCATTTTCAAGGAGTTTATGATTAAAGTACTATTAGTAAGTAGGAATGTAACAGTCGGCGGGCGGGGACTATTCGACCCCGTGCGCAAAAATCATGACCAGGCCTGGCTCGAACATCATGTCGTCACCCATGTGCTGATTATCGCACTGCAGCACTAGAACAGCCTGCTTGCCTGCACAGAAATACCTTTTACATGCCTGCACTGGTTTCCAAAGCCGCAAATCTCACCTGGCACCCGCTTGCACACGTAGTTCTCATACTGTCTTCGGTTGTTCTGGCGCGTTTCCAGCGAGCACAAACCAGGCGGCCATCGGCATTCGTGGCAATTCTCCATTAAATCGTCCAGAATGTGAAAGGGACAGCCCATTTCGGTTAGCGTGCGCTTGATCATTCTCTACATGACAATGACTTTTATTATAAAAAACTACCAAAAACCACTATACACCTAAACATACATACATTTTCTGTGGCCAAAAACCCTTCTCACCTGTAGAGCTTCGTCGGGCGTAGAGATCATGCCGCCCCATCTGGTGACTCGGGCTCGCTGGAGCGAACTGCTCCATCGCAACACCTCTCTATCCTGCTGGTCCCGGTCCATGGCATCCGCTATCGCCCTCATAGAGGGGTTGGAGACTTTGAGGGCCCGCATAAATTCCTGCAGGTTTTAACTTTTCGAAAACGCGCTTATATGACTTGTCCCTCAGCACACACCTTTAACAACTGCATGTCCCGCCGCTGCTCAATGATCAGCAGCCGCAAGTCGTGAAACTCGTGCTGGTACTCGTTCATTTTCTGCTGCTGCTTCTGGATGAGCGTCCGCAGCTCTTTGATGCAGTTGTGGTCCTTCAGCTCGTCCTTGGGAATAACCAGGGCGCAGCCCTGGAGCAACAAAGTCAAAGTCATCGCGGAAAGCAACAAACCCGACTGGGCCAGTACCTGCTCACAAAGGACCGGCCTCTTAGGATTATGATCACAGTCTTCCAGGTGGGCGGCCAGCCCTTCCAGGTTGGTTATCCTGGTGCAACCAAAGCGCACATTGTCGCAATTGATGTTCAGCCTGAAATATTCAAACGGCAATGAAATAGTGTGGGCTTTTACATCGGCAAAAAGTTGTTGTTGGCAAACACTCACGCACAAGGTGAAGGTGTTTCAATGCCATTCTTCAAGTGCAAGCTGACGTAACGCTTGAAGAACCCCAACGAAAGCTAATTATCTTTTAATTATCGCATCTTCCGTGCCAATTAACCATTGCAAAGCGGTGGTGTAATTAAATTGATTACGGCAAGTGAAAGTTTTGCAAAGGCCAATTACTCAACGCAATTGCCACTGTTCTAGCATCCTGTTCCTTTTCATCTTGGGCTAAGAATTTATGCCAGCCTTCCAGAAAACTCACCTCGATAGTAGATTTCTTAAAATTCGCGGCACTTGGGTCAGTTGCGCTGTGGTGAGAGTCTGCCTGTCTACTGGACAAGTCGGCTGCCTGGATATCCACTGGGTGATGCAGGCTTTGCAAAATACATGCTCGCATTCAGGGGCCTACAAAACAAAAAAAAGTTAACATTTTAGGCAAAGTTTTTACTCCACTTTAAACCCCAGAGGTTTAGTATTGTCAACAACCAACTGTATAGAGAAGAAGGTCCTAATGGGGCAACAAACTCACTTGCAATGGGTCCTCCAGCACCCCGGAACAAATGGGGCAGATCAGCTCCTCGTCGACCTCGCCCTGGAACCGGTTGATTTCGAAACCCATCTCCTCTACACCACCGCCTCCATTACAAGGAAATTGTCGCCAGAAAAGCCAATTTGCACCAAAACAGGCACTTCTTGCAGACTCCTGCCACTTCCTTTGGCAGATGTTGGGTTTTTTGTTTTGATTTTTTGTTTGACACTTCACCGTTGCCAGACTTGCCAGCAGGATCGTAACATGCGCGAAAAAAAATGTTCGGGCTCGGCATCATTGCTTTCCATATATAGCCACTACAAATTCTAGAAGATAATTTAAAAAAATTGCGAACACAAAAGACACCCAGAAATTTGCGGGAAAACCTATAAAATACGCTAAACAATCCGAAAAACCCAGTAGAGACCCGAAAAAACTCCGGGACTGTCAACATCCAAAGCCTGACAGTTAACCTGAAAAAGTCAAGCAAAGTGCGTTAGGATAACGAAAAAAACATGAGCAAAGTTGAAAAGTCCTATAAAAAGCCGCACTACGGCAAAGGGGCCCCAAAGAGACGCGGCGTGGAAGAGAAGCTCAAGGGCTTTCTTTGCAGCTGCAACATCAGAGAGAGGGACTGCGTTCGCGAATCCTACAACTTGCTAAACAAGTATGCGGACTTGTTGTGGCCCCCGCAGGCAGCCGCTAGTGACGCCAATGTGGAGGAATCGCTGGAGACCGAGCTGAAGAGCTTGCGATCGGAGAAGCGCTTCCAGGTGGTGGATTCGGGGGCCAAAAACCTGATTTTCATCAAGACTACGCTCGAAGAGCCGGTCACCTTAGCGGAACACATTCTGCAGCAGATCTACGAAAGCAAGAGCCAGGAGACGCGGTTTCTGATCAGGCTGGTGCCCATTGAGACCACCTGCAAGGCCTACATCAAGGACATTGAGCAGGCGTTCCAACCACTTTGCGAGCGCCATTTTTCCTTAGAGTCCAAGACTTTTGCAGTTATGTTCAATCACAGGAACAACAACAGCGTAACTAGGGACGAGGTGATTAAGACTGTAGCCGATATAGTGGCCAAACACGGCGAAAGCCGACAATTGGATCACAAAGTCGACTTAAAGAACGCGGAACTGGCCATAGTGTTGGAGGTGATTCGGGGCTTCGTCTTCATTGGCGTCGTCCCCAATTACTTCAAATACAAAAAATACAACTTACTGACGTTTGCGCCTTCAGAAGAGCCTGCAACTGACCAATGTCCTTCGGCCAATACAGAACCAGTTGAAAACTAGTCATTTGTTCTTTTTTATTAGTTTTATAACGTCATTGCATAGGCCTTCGCGACTTTAGAGGGTACGTTAATGCACTCACAGCTACACACTTCGGGGATATCGAGACCAAAGCCCTTTCGGGCAGCCCCAGGGGGGCTACTGCCCACCAAGTGCCCCACAATGCACTCGAAGACCCAGCGCTCGCTTTGCTCCCCATTCACCACCAACATCGTGTCCCCACAGTACTTTTTTATGCTGCCGTAGTTCTGGCAGTAGAAGTCGTGCTCTGCTTGGATGAGACCCAGAAAGTCCTTGGGGTGCGGTTTCCAGGCTCCCTTGCTGGGCGCAGCGCGGCTTTCGCCCACCTTTGCTGGGTTGAAGTCTGTTACTGAGCCAGTATGTACATTCACCTGTCGATAACGCAATCTTTCTTTGGCAGTATTCAAGTCGCAATCCAGAACAATCACCCGATTAGGGGGCGTTTGTAGGCAATCCAAGAACTGGAAGTCGGTCACTGTAAAGGGATACCCGGTTAACACCCAGCCGCTCTCCATGCAGTCCCTTTCCAGCACCCTCTTGTTGACGATCTGGCAAAGAAGCTCCGAGTGAAAACAAACCTGGAAAACACCATCCCTCCAATTAAAAGGCTTCGTCCTGTCCTCCCCAGTCTCCCATTACTCTCTTATTGCACTGTCTGAGCTGCCGCCCCAGCTGGTTGTCGTTGGTCCAGGCCTGGCACAAGATGTACTCAAAGTCCACGTGAATCAGCCCCATCATCTGAGCGAGAAGCCGCGCCTGAGTCTTCCGGCCACATCCTCTAGGGCCCAGAATGACCACCCGGGGCCGCACGGCTTTCACTGCTGGCTTCCGGCGGCAAATGTCCAAGCAGTCCTTGGCGGCAGCAGCAATGCTCCTATCGGCCAGGCAGACCTCGCGCAGCTTCTGAGCGAAGAGCCCTCTGAGTCCAAACAGGTTCCGTCTGAGCGCCGGCCAATGCTCAGGCACGTCGCAGTAGAGCGGCTCGTCCAGTTTGGGCTGAAAAGGTGCAACCAAATGCACCACATGTGTAGGCAACACGCCCAGCTGCAGCAGCGCTTTCGCTTCCTGCTCAGTATTGATGCAATCGGCCAAAATCCAGCCAGAGTGTTGGCTGCGCCCCAAACAAGCAATCGCTTTAGCCACCATCTCGGGCTGCATGGCCGCCAGCGGGAAAATCCGCTTCAAATCCTGCAGAGTGATGACGAGTTGCTGCGTGCTTTTGGCCATCTCTTGCGCAACAGCCACCCGATTCACCTTCAGCGAACCGATGAGGATCGTCCTGCAGGCGTCCCGATTGGCTGCCGCTTGCTGAAGCATTTGCTTCATGAAGAGTATGTGATCTTCGGGCTTTTGGATCAGCAGTTCGCGCGCCAGTTCATGGAACAGTTCCGGAATGCGGTGCTTCTCCAAGTACGGAATGTGCCATTTGGGAAACGCAAGCGGCCGCTTCGAAGGGTCGGTCATTTTCTGGCAGCTGCCACTGTGACTAATCCAGCTACTTTGGAATCGTCCCCGGTAAATAATTAGAGCAGGTAAAGTGCGCCCAGTGTAGGGATGGTCGGTATTTAACGTAACCGCTAAAATAACAGTGTTCCAAACGTG